CATAGGTTGCAAACAAGGAGGGGGCTTATACTTAATATCAGGAAGAGGCAGCTGAAGTTTCTGGGACACATAATGAGGAAGGAGGGCCTGGAGAATCTGATACTGACGGGTCGAATAGAGGGAAAGAGAGATAAGGGAAAACAACGCGTGACATGACTGACCGGCTTAGGCAAGTGGGTGACAGAACGTGGTCTGGCTGAGGAAGCAGAGGGAAGGAACTTGTTGAGAGCTGCAAGGGATGTTCGCCTATGTCACATTCAAAGAAAATAAATCATTTTCCTAATAACGAAAAAGTTCGTAAGGCATATTCAGTAAATATTAGATTTTTTTTTATATACTAATGAGGTTTTATAGAAAATTGCCAAAAAATGTTGAGAAATAAAAACATATTAAGCTGATACATTATTAAATTGATAAATTACAGAAGTTTTTCAATTTATTCGAGTTTTAGCAGAATTACAAGAAATGTATTAGTTACTATAGCTTGCAAAGTTTATTCTTTATTAGGCTAAATTTAATTAAGTTCCTTTTCATTTTTAAGGCGCTTAATTAACTTTCATCTAATTACCCCAGCTGCTCCTGACAAAACAAACTTTTGATATTCGGAAAAGGAAAGTCGAGAGGAAAAGAGAGATATAGAATGTGTGAGGGAGAGAGAGAAGTCCCTACGCTAAAAGTGTTTATTAATCTGTTGCCATCCGTCCTGATAGGCAAATATGAATATATGAGAAAATACCGTAATTCCCCATGTATAATAAACCTTCATCTATAATATGCCACCCTAAAATTGTGCTGAAATGGTAGGAAAATGCTCCTGCTCATGCATAATACGCACCCCTTATTTGGTAATTGTTATGGGATCTTACCAATAATAATAATAATGGACTATTCCATACTTAGTAAATACTGCGCCTCAGGAGTAGGCAAAGAGTCGGTAGTTCAAGTCTTGAACGACAGATCGGTTGAACTTTCTGCCTTCGGGCGAGGAGGAAGCGGAACGAGGCTACACCCGAGGGGCGGAGTCTCTTTCGGGGAGGTAAACCAGCCCTGAGTCCGTTTATACGGGTTCAATGAGCATATTTTAGGGGCCGAACCCACAATAAATAACCGACCTTGTGTCACCTGCTGCCCTCGTATGGGGTGACTGAATATCGTCAGTAGTTCAAGTCCTGACCGGCTGTTCGGTTGAACTCACTGTCTTCAGGCGGAGAGGAACCCGAAAGAGGCTACGCCGAAGGGCGGATTCTCTTTCGGGTAGGTAAACCGACCCTGAACCCATTTATACGGGATCAATGGGCATATTTTTGGCCGAGCCCACGGGCTCGGACATCCCACGTTAAAAAGGCCTTGTGCCACATGACGCCCTCGTGGTGGGGGTGACTGAACATCGTCAGTAGTTCAAGTGGAGTCAGTAGTTCAGGTCGAGTCAAGAGTCGAGTCAGAGGCAGTCCGAAACAGTCACGTTCAGACAATTTCTGCAAGACATTGGAATAGTGATACTGGTCGAGACTACATTGTTCTCCCTACTAAATCTGATTGTTTGTACTAACACATTCTACTTCTCTGTATATATTCCTCTTTGTAATATATCTGTCTTATTCCATACCTGTGTTCGAGTTCTTCTTATTTGGTTCTACCTTGGACTATCACCGTGGTACAAGGAATCGGATCATAACAGTAATCAAACCCTATAAATTGTAACTCTCCAATTTCATTACGGCCAGCGTTTCCTACACTTATTTAAAAAAAAATGGTTTTAAACATAGAATAATATTATTCTAATTTTTATGATAATTCTTATTTTTATTTTACATTTTTAAGTATTGTTAGGTACATATGATTATATTTGACATCCTTATGGGGTCACAATTGCCGAATGTTAGTGTCAAATTGGCGTAAGTTTGTGGTGAGTATATGAGTAATTTCGCAACTGAAATCGGCCTATGGAACGGCAATTTTTTTAAAAGATTTTTTGTAGCTGTGCATAATGCGCATCCCTAATTTTGCTTCTTAATTCTTTAGAAAATACATGAGGAATTACGGTTCTCAAAATCACCGAAACTTAAATATCGCGTTCAAAATCGGAGTCGATGCAAATTACAGCCTTTGATGCAACGATTTCCCACTATTCTAGGTCATTCTACCACATGAGAGGCTTCTAAATTGACTTTCTCTCTGGCTTTTCTTCTTCTGGTTTCAATTATATCTGATGATTTTTGCGAGGACAGTTAAAAATGGAATGACGCACTAAGTGATTTCTTTTGGGTAAAACCGCAGCTGAAATTTTGATGATCCGAGAAACATTTAAGTAGAGCGAGGTTTGGATAAAACAGAAAGGTAAAAGTCAAATGCCAGTTGGCTGCAAAACGCGATCTTACAAATTTACAACAAAAGCTAAAATGACAAAAATCTCGAAAAAAATATTCATTATGTAATCAATAACGAACGCAAGACAAATGGTTTTATGAGATATTTTCAGAAATAGGTTTGTCTTGAAATTCATATCAAATAAAATTAAAAGAAATTTGAAAAAGAAACTTATTTTCGCAAAATCTCTATTTAAAGTACAATGTTCCAAATGACTCAGAAATTTTTTCCAAGTTTGTGACAGAAAATAAGTTTTTATTTTTGCTTGTTTTTGGGGGTTCCTCTTCTTTGGATATTGGTGTCGTGTTCGTTTTTATTCCTCACCCGAATCTATCTTAAATGCTTACAATTCGTCCATGCTGAGAATATTGCTGCCACTGGTGTTCCATATAAAAATCTAAAGAAGAATCTGCAATGTAATTAGTCCTGACCAGATATCTCGGCTTCAGTCACTTTTTAACTGCTCTAATAAAGATTACCTGGGCCTTTTCTATAAATACTTCCATGGTAAATGTTCTGATGAACACCTGAACTCTATGAATTTAAGCGCATTACTAGACTGGCGGCAATATCTCCTCACTTTACAGTCGAAATAGAGAAATGTAACCGTAAATTCTATGCTAACGGTTTCTTTTCTTTCACTTCTAGTTTGTGGAGTTTTTTTCCGGCTTCTTGCTTTTCAATCAAGTTTGATATCCAAGAATTTAAATGCAATATCAATCGTTATCTTCTTGGTTATAGTTCTTTTTATTATTCTCATCTTTGTCGCCATATTATTAGTTAGATCCAGTGACAGGACCCAAATTGTGTGAGTTCAATACCCAGTTAAGGCAGTGGAGAACTTCGAGAGGGGAATTAACAGGAGATAACTGACAACAGACATCCATAAAACTTTGGCATGTGGAACTAGAACAGTCTACCCCAGTGAGCGAAATAAAGGGTTCAGTTCGACATTCCCACCACCTGAAGAAGGCCAGAAACGCTGTAATAAATATGGCGACAAATATGAGGACAATAGTCCGAATAGTGTAAATAGTGTACATAATACCTCATCTCAGAAATATAGACAGATACTCTCTTTAATAATAATATATTCTTTCACATTCAGTAACCAATTGCGTGTTAATGGCTTTGTCGACTAGCTTGGGTTAAAATAATTAAAAAATAATTTCTCTGATAATGTGAAATCCTCTTATATAACAAGTCACATCTGAACAGATTAATACTTATATATGTAGCATGTTCATTTATCTATGTGTTTTTGAATTGAGTAAGTGTTATTGACTTTATTCTTCTTTTTTTTCTTCTTGATATTCTGTCATGAACGACAGTGATATGTCTGGAAAGATCAAGGAACGGTCCTTACACGAGAAACGGCATCGTTGCTAGAAAATACGACTTTCTCTCTTCAGGAATCTAGAATTTTTTATCGATAAAATGGAATCAAGCCATAAATGAGAAGAGACTGGTTATAATATAAATGAGACTTGAATTGTAAGATTATATTTCAGCGCCATATGTTTTTCTCAGTGCTTCAAATGATGATTACAATTGACAAAGGATTCTGATTATCTTAATATTCATATATTTCCTGTTAAACACTTTAGCTGATGAACATTGTTTTATCTCAGTTTGAATGACTTCCTGGTAAGGTTTAAGGTTTTTATATTGCTTTCTGTACGTGCAAATAAAATCAAACGGTTTCTACCTGTTCTAATATCCTAAGTTTTAATATGAACTATCCGAGAGAATCACAGAAATCAAGTATATATATATATATATATATATATATATATATATATATATATATATATATATATAATTGAATAATTTAGACAAGTTCTGTCTACTTATTTTTCAATAGCGTCCTTTCCTACTCGCGAATAAGCATTCTGGTGTCATTATTGAAGGACGAGAGAAAATCGCCGTGTTGATACATATTTCTTTTATTTCCGAGTACTTTCGACATAGCAATGTTATTATCAGGGTATTGTTTAATACAAGATAACTATTAGTTGCATCCCCTTAAAAGGATTCAGCGGTCACGCACTGATGAAGCGTTTCTCTCTCAACTTGTAAAGAATTTAACTTTCAGATGAACACAACAATTTGGTCTTGGACAATAATGAACACTACAATATTTATCGTGAAATAAACAATCTATATATATATATATATATATATATATATATATATATATATATATATATATATATATAGATATATATGAATGATGGGTACTGAAATGTTCTCAGATTGCGAACAATTTCAGCCCAATTCTCATTTGTCTATCTATCTATCTATCTATCTATCTATCTATCTATATATATATATATATATATATATATATATATATATATATATATATATATTTTATATGTGTGTGTGTGTTAATAGCATGATCTGTTAGTGCGAAACACACTGAGGTGGATACAAAATGAAATCATATAGAGAGATAACACATTAGGGCTATGCATATGTTACACGCAGAGAAATATCAAAAAATATTTATTTATTCAAACTTTGGCGTCTTTTTAAAGATGCCCAATTCGTCTTTCGTGTTTGCTATAAGCTGTCACAAAAGTTTCATATCTATCTATATATCTATCTCAGTCTGTTCAAATATGTCTCACCTCTTCATCTTTCTGAACAACAGATAGATAGACAGGCTGATAAATAGATAGATAGATAGATATGAACAGACCCAGATAGATAGATAGATTGATAGATTCGTATAGCAAATAAGATTTGTGCCTGTTCAAAACTACGCTAATTGCAGTGAGACCACAATGGTTGCTGTGGGTCAAAGAATGATGTGATTTTTTCTGCAATTTCAACATGAACTTGGTTAGATCAGAGAGACGACTAAATGAACTGAATTTCAGAATAGTTTTTGCGTTTTCTGACATGCATTATAAGCAGATAACCATAAAATTGTTTCCCATATAGAATGTATTTGTAGGCTTTTTATAAAGAAAATGTCAAAGATCCAAACACAAACTGCATTGAGAAAATGGTTCAGGATTTACTTGGATTATGTGCATCATCCACGGATTATGGATGGATTGAAATCTAATTCCTTGTCCATACAAAAACACGTGAGAAGGGAGACACAGGGTACGGTCAACAAGATTCTTTACCAGGAAACATAATTCGCTATTATTCTAATATTAGTCACCACGCCTCGACACGGCAGCCATAACCACAGGCAATTAACCTCCAGTGTTGGTCTTAATAAATTCTGTTTCTGTAGTACAAACACAGTCAGAAGTGATTTGGTATATATACATTCCTTCGAGCAAGGTGTTTATATCTGTAAACGTTCCTATATTGAGCGCAGTTTCTGTGTAAATATAGCAGCTTTTTTTAACAATATATACATATAAAACAAGTTAGAATATCGTGATGCTTTTCAATTTTGATAGAAAAATGCAAGATACTGCGTCGCCATATTTGCGTATTTTAGTCTTGTTCAAAATCAACTTCATCTTTTTATTATAAGTAAAATATGAATGGTCTATTTGGTAGAGAGTTGTGTAATTACCCTGCGAAGGTAAGAGTCGGGTTTCTAGTTTAATTAAAAGCCAAGTTTTCTGCGCGTTAACTATTAAAAGCATTTAGACCAATTCCACTTAGAAAACAGACGTAAAACGTTCTTTTTCTCTACTTACTCCATTGAACTAGTGCGCTGCTAAGGTAAAGCTAGCATTTTTATTCGGTATCACCCCGAGCAAGGCAGTAAAGACACTAAGATACAAAGTGGTTACAGGGTGGGGAAGAATTAGGAACGGAAACATTAATAATGAGCGAGAAGAGGAAACTTAATCAGGAAGACAGTAGATAAAAATTGACATTGCATTTAAAGGCATGTCTGAATTGAATAAAATCCATCTTTTGGTTCATCCACCAAGACCATCAAATGTCACTCGAGATACATCCATGAAAACTACTTTAGAAAAATCAATTTTCATGTATTTCATGCCACAATTTTGACGATTTAAAATATTTGCTTTAGTGAGAGGAGGTTGCCTAGGAGATTTCTTTTACAGATCGCAATTCCCAAAGTATTCTACACCTTTTGTCCTTCTGACTCCCTTGATTCCAGCCTTTTCAAAGATCTGAGCGCTGGTCAAAAGTTGTTGTTTTGTTATAACTCGATTTAGTTTACGTTCATCTCAAGGAATCAAGTTCTTAAAGCCTTTTCCTTTGCTTTGAGTTCTCAACTTATATTTTCAACAACCTTCTTTATCGTTTGATGATATTTGCAAAGCTCCTTTGATATCTCCAACGTGGCATTTCCTCATTCAATAACTTTGTTATTTTCTGTTTTCAGCAGTTTTTAGATCCCCCCTTTACCTATGTTTTAACATATATTATGGATAAAAAGAAAAATATAGTTTTTATTAAATTACAGAGGTCTTAAGTTAATATTAGTTTAATCTGCATAACATGATTTTGTTGTGTATATTTGAACTATTTGGGTGATATGTAACTGATTTGAAATTTCTGCTTATCAGGAAATTTACTTTGGATAATTGCTTATGCTTATTTCACCCTAATGGTTTGTGTTGGTGCAAAAGATGATGGAAATAAGAGGAAAAGATCAACTTTGGAATTATCGCAAAAATTGGATATTTTAAACAGACTAGATGCTGGTGAAAGGTCATTGTAACTAATGCCTGAGTTCAACATAGGAATGTCAGTATTGTATGATATAAAATCTTTCAAAGAAATTATTCTCCAGTGTTCACACTGTCATAATAAACAAGGAAATAAAAAAACATGATTGTAATGAAACCTGGACTGAAATTGAAAAAGCTATTGAAAAGGTTGTCAGTTTTATGGAAAGAAAGCCATCATTCAGCTATGACGATTGCAATAAAGCACGCAGAGTTAAAAAAGTGTCTTTCATTTAAAAAATTTCAAGAACAAAAGCAAAACGAAATGCGGAAAAAGTTGAGAATGACATTAGAAGAGAAAGAATCAGCATGTAACAGCGATTAAAAAATCCTCGTTACATTATTTGTTTTACATATGGCATACTTAATTTAATGAATTTTCATTAACATTAAATAATTTATTTCTTTTTCCTTAAAATCAATTCCGTTATATTTCACTCACCATTAGCTTATTTTGTTTAATTTAAAACATTGAAAATAAATGTTAAACCTGATTTCAGTTCCCATAATTTAATCTAAATATAACCCCTTATATTCGGACTTTGTAACCAATTCCTCATATCTGAAAGGCCTTCATAGTCCAGGATTTCTACTGTATCTCAAAAATTAACCATTAAAAATAGCAAAAAATATAATTAAATATTTTACTAAAGGCAGAAATAGACAAGTTTAAAGTTGACAAATATTTGCTCAGCACTTTTTGAGTTCTCAGGTTTATTTGATTTGCATAATACCTTTAGACATGTTTTAGCTTTAAGATTTGGTATATTTACAGGGTAAACGTATTCAATCTCCAAAATAGAGCGTATAGGTATGGTTCTGTGTATAACAGCGTCATTTGATCTAAGCCAGTGCATTCTAGCAGTACCTTGCAATATCATCAAATTTTGTTGGTTCTCTCTCGCCTTCAGGTGCAGCAGTTGCAATCACATGCATTCACTACCCTTACGTTGAAGCTTATCACCTTTGATATTAAAGAAAGATCAGTCATAGAATTAAAGATTTCTGACTGCAACAGTAGGAAAAACACTTTGTCGTAAATCCAGTAATTCGACCCGCGTTCTCCGACAGACTCAATAAACGATCCATTATGTGTGCAGCTCAGAAAAAAAATCAAACATGGCAGAAAAGAAAAAGAGGAATAATTTGTATAATTAACGAAAAAGGAGAAACAAAATACGGCCGGGCGATAATCAGAAAACGGTAGACAGAAATAGAATTAGAAAGAAAGAAAGAAAGAAAGAAAGAAAGAAAGAAAGAAAGAAAGAAAGAAAAGAATATAAAGATGAAGGGAAAGAAAGAAAGAATATAAAAATGAAGGAAAAGAAAGAAAGAAAGAAAGAATATAAAGAAAGAAAGAAAAAATATAAAGAAAGAAAGAAGGAAAGAAAGAAAGAAAAAGAAAGAAAGAAAGGAAATAAAAGATGAAGGAAAAGAAAGAAAGAAAGAAAGAAAGAAAGAAAGAAAGAAAGAAAGAAAGAAAGAAAGAAAGAAAGAAAGAATATAAAGATGAAGGGAAAGAAAGAATATAAAAATGAAGGAAAAGAAAGAAAGAAAGAAAGAATATAAAGAAAGAAAGAAAAAATATAAAGAAAGAAAGAAGGGAAAGAAAGAAAGAAAGAATATAAAGATGAAGGGAAAGAAAGAAAGAAAGAAAGAAAGAAAGAAAAGAAAGAAAGAAAGAATATAAAGATGAAGGGAAAGAAAGAATATAAAAATGAAGGAAAAGAAAGAAAGAAAGAATATAAAGAAAGAAAGAAAGAAAGAAAGAAAGAAAGAATATAAAGAAAGAAAGAATATAAAGATGAAGGGAAAAAAAGAAAGCTAGAAAGAAAGAAAGAAAGAAAGAAAGAAAGAAAGAAAGAAAGAATGAATGAAAGATGGAGCGAAAGAAAGAATATAAAGAGGGCGTGAAAGCTAGAAAGAAAGAAAATAAAAATAAAGGAAGATATCAATATGGATGAATAGATATAGAACAAATACTAATTTATTCTTATTTATTTCAAAAGCTTATGGTCGATGCACCTCCGGCCTTCTCCAGTCGTCTTTCGTATTTTACAATGTCGAACCTTGTATTCAGTATTTAAAGTGTTTCCTTTACCATACCTATCACCTCAGGTGGTTATAATTTCCGGAACACCAGTTCTTTCAAATATCATTTTTCAGCTTAGTCATGTTTTTGAAACTTAGAGATCCTTGTTTGTTCTAGTTTAATCAGTGACTTCAATATGCTAGTATATTTCCTTGGTCTGCTGATCGAATGATCTCGCCCAATCTATATGTGTTGATTCTTTGTTAGTCATCTACTCCCCCTATTATTACTGTACTTATCGATTCATTGATTGATTCGTTTTCTACGGCTTACCAACGCTTTGCAAGTTATTTAAACTTAGAAAATATTTTTAGATTGTAATAATGATTTTGGGATACAATTCTTACAAATAAAGGGAAAGAGGTGGATTCAAACCTTCCCAAAGAATATTTGCGCTAAAATTGAATATAAAAAATTGAAGTGGAATTGAAATTCGCCTTCTCCATTAACAATTCCTAGACATTAATAATTACACCACCTGCACATCCAAATTTTGTAGCACCTAGTATTCCTAAACGGTCCCTCATCTTAAGTTGCTTAACTTGGGTGATCGTATGGAACAAATGTTTCAACGTGATATGGTGGTAAATCAATGCTGTACTTATTACATAATAAGATAAGAAGAATTTTAACAGTCACTCATATTTTTGTGTATATATATATATATATATATATATATATATATATATATATATATATATATATATATATATATATATATATATATATATATATATATATATATATATATATATATATATATATATATATATATATATATATATATATATATATATATATATATATATATATATATAATATATATATATATATATATATATATATATATATATATATTATAATTTAATTGATTTAAAATATGGTTATTTTTCTTGAAAATAACCATATATTTTAATCAATTAATAATTATATATTATCTGTAAATTTACATTGAGCACTATTTTGTAAAAATAAAATATCTATAAGAACACCGGATTTTATATCTTACTGTTTCTTTTCTTTTATTTATATATATATATATATATATATATATATATATATATATATATATATATATATATATATATTATAAAAAATAGGTTCTAAGGTATGCCATATTTATGGGTTCAAGTGCAAATATCACATCTAGACCTTATGTAAATATAAAAGTTGACATGAAAGTCAACACCCAGACGCATCAGTCTGTTTCATACTTAAACACAATCGTCAGGCCATATATATATATATATATATATATATATATATATATATATATATATATATATATATATAAAAATAGTCTGTTTCATGCTTGAATGCAATCTTTATATGTGAAGACTGCGTTCAATATGAAACTGTCTTATGTTGACATGTGTCCACTTTTATATTTACATACACTCTATCCCTGATATTGAGCACTCTAACCTGTAAATATATAGCATAGCTGAGATATATATGCTTATTATATATATATATATATATATATATATATATATATATATATATATATATATATATATATATATATAAATGAATTTTTTTGCTTTCTATATCTGTATACGATTTAACGTTTTAAAGTTTAGATTTTTGCCAGTCGTAAAAAACATAGCAAATTTTCATAGGAATAAATAATAGTAACAAATTTAAAAGTTCCTTTTCGAACTATACATGACTAAGCAGACATAAGCGAATTCAATTTAAATTTACTAAAATCAATTCAGTCCTCGTTTTGTTTGTTTCAAAATGGAGGCCGAATCTTTCGTCGATGCTCTAACTCAAATTAGAAGACCGGTATTTTACTCAAGATATCCAGCGAGAAAAATAAAATTGCAACAGCCTGAAGGACTCTAGTTGTTTTTATTCTCCTTACAGTCGATGTTACTGTTTTTGATGTTGGTGTTGCTGCAATTATGGCGGCAATGATCTAATGGATATTCCTACCCTCGGAATTTTAACCTCTTGATAATCACATAAGAGGAGCGTTCGACAAGAACGGCGTATTGTAAGGGTTGTACTTGCTGATCTAACGGGGCCCATAAGGCAGACCTTTTAGCGTCAATACAGTTCGTTGATATTCCTTTACTTGCAGTAGCTAAGAGTACCTTTACTCATATTTCCTGTTAAGGCACATCAGCTTCAAATAGATCTGCAGTACTCTTTCTAGATTTTCGGGATCGAAAGTGCGTCTCACCCGTGTCTATTGATGGAAGCTGATTCTGCTTTCATACAAATGATAATCGTGTCCATAGCCTTGTGGAGTGGAAGCTTCCATAGTGTATTCGTCCACAAAACTTAATTCAATACACAACTGTCGTTTACATTTGTGGAAGGAACCTTGAACTGCATCATGCCAAATACGTTACACAAGACGATACGTTATTCCAACCAGGTACCGCAATTCCCCATTTATAATACGCATTTAAAGAAAAAACTAAGCAAAATTAGGGGTGCGTATTATGCACAGATACAAAACATATTTTAAAAACATGATACATTATTCCAACCAGATACCGTAATTCCCCATGTATAATACGCATTTTTTCTAAAAAAAAGACTAAGCAAAATTAGGGGTGCGTATTATGCACAGCTACAAAAACATCCTTTAAAAATTGCCGTTTCATAGATCGATTTCTGTTGCAAAATGACTACTCACCACAAACATACGACAATTTGACACTAACATTCAGCGATTGTGACCCCATAAGGATGTCAAATATAAACATATATACCTAACAATACTTACAAATGTAAAATAGAATAAAAATTATCATAAAAGTAAATTAGAATAATATTATTCTATGTTTAAAACCATTTTTTAAATAAAAGTAGGAAACGCCGGTCATAATGAAATTGGAGAGGAACAATTTATAGGGTTTCATTACTAAACAATGGATGCGTATGATGCGTGATAAGAATCATTTTTAGCACAATTTTAGGGTTGCGTATTATGGATGAAGGCGTATTATACATGGGGAATTACGGTAATTCCTACCCACTTGACGCTCCTGCTATTCAACGGGATGTAATTGCTACTCAGCCTATACTGCAACTTATTCAATAACCTTTCTGGCCAATCCGTTTAAAATAAATCTCATCCAATTGAACATGTTTGTAATATGATGGGAGAACACTTGTGTAGTTCAATGATCCCACCTACGTTTTTTGCTGTATTGCTCAATTAACAGATTAATATACCACAGAATGATATTTCCATCTGTACAATCGTATACTAGCAAAATTATAGCTCTCTTAGTACCAAAGGAGGATATACAATCTATTAATAGGCGATCTGAACGAATTTATGACCCGTTACAAATTATTATAGTTTTGTGAATTTTGACATTAATATGGACATTTTTAATCCAGACGCAGAAGATTAGTAAAACCGTGTCAAGGATAAAAAAAAAACATTAACTCCTTGGGCATAAAATATTTTAAATTTCAGTCAGTCAGTTATGTGACATGCGTGATATACGCTTAGGCGATCATGTATCTTTCGATACATGACTGACTAGGCAAATTTTTTTTCCCGCAGTAGGTTGCTATTTTTCTGCGGTAGACCAGTTGCCATCCAACACGGTCTGCCTTGCTATTTACACATAGATGGAGTGGGGAGAAGAAGAGGGTCCATACCATTCCCAAGGGTATTAGCACGTAAGTGAACGTAATGGATTCGACTGGAATTCGAACTCGGCTCTCCGATTCTTCAGTCCGAGCCGCTATCCATTACTCCATCATCAAAATCGTTTTATTTCTATAAACGTTCTTACAGATGACCTCCTCTTTGAAAATGAAATTGAAGATCATTTCATTAGTATCAAATAGTTCTTCGTAACATCGGCAGCATAATTGGTGAAATCATCTTTACAGAAACGAAATCTTTGAACAAAGTCATGATCCAAACATAAGGTTCTTCCAATAACTTGGACCAATTTTAAATGTGAATTAAATTTAAGCGTGTAATGATTTTTTTTTCTTTCAGATTTAACAACTTAAGTCTTTGGTAATTTCATCTATGGAAAGATTAACTGTCAAACAACGTGTTAAAGTTATCGAAGCCTATTACGAAAATGGGCGTTCAAACAAAATTTGAATGAGAAGTACCCAGGTCGTATCATCTCTCGAAACAGCGAAGTCAATTGGTCACCACGATCGTGCGATTTCTTCCTTTGGGGTCATCTCAAAAGTAAGGTCTATGCCAACAAGCCAACAACAATTCAACAGCTGAAGGATGAGATAATAAGACATATTGGTGAGATCGAGGAGCAACTATGCAGAGACGTCATCAAAATTTTTAACCATAGAGTGAAGGTGTGCCGCCCAAGCCTTGGAGGACATGTGGGCGATATTATTTTTCACAAATAATTGCCATGACTTAAATAACATTATCCAATAGAGAAATAAATAAATTTTCACCAATAACACTGATTTATTTACTGCTGACTTTGATCCGTCTTAATGAAACACCTTTATAGCTACATTTACGAAACTATGCCTTAAGAATTAAAAATTAACATTTCCAACTACAGTATTATGAGCTTGTAGTTTTTTCAAGTTCACGATTCTTAAATTGCAAAGTCTGAAATTAATACATATCCGTTTTCAAAATTAGTGACCATGGCTTACAAAGAACTGAATAAGATAAATTTCCCATGGATTTAATTATAAGAATGTAATCAGATACGCAGACACAAGTTGTAAGTTCAAACTCCCAGAGCGGAAGTCATACGTGGCAAAAAATTCTAACGGGTTAGAACAATATTGCATGATGGAAGAGATCAAAGATCCCTCACAATATTCCGACATGATTTATATGTCAGGGAGG